CTGCATCATTGTTTCTCCTGCCCCACCATCCACCACCCCAGTGAACTCCCTGAAGGCAGGACGGGCCTCGTTCACCTCAGCACCTAGTACAATGTGTGGCTAACGATGTATGCACAATGAATACTTTGGTTTGTATAGCGCTCTGTACTTTTCAGAGTGTGCCGACACAAATTAACTCATCTATAGAGGTATAATTATATTTCCTTACTTAACATTCATTCCTCCTGAATAAAATATTCCTTTAAAAATATTACTTTTACTAACAAGATTTCTGTGAAGTCAATAATCCACTATGTCACTAATGTGACTGAGTCAGGGGTCAAACTATCTCATTTTTCCTGATATACTAGAAGAGTTTGTGAAAAAGCAGATTTCTTTCTATAACCCAGCAGGACCCTATGGGGCCTTCCTGAGACAGACCCCTCTCCTATAGTCTCTGCTTTAGCTCCTCTGTGAATTACCTAGATAATCATATCTGATGTTCATTTCCTGAGTAGTTTTACAGACGTTAAAACTCCCACCAAATGGAAGAAATTAACTACTTGATGATGATGAGCCCATAGCCCCCAGACCTACTGGCGCCTAAGGATTGATAATGTTACGCCTGTGACATCGTCCTGTTACCTCACCATCAACCAATCAGAGAATTGTGCACAAGCTGTTGACAGACCCTGGGATGCCCCTCCCTCACTTTGCCTTTAAAAATGCTTTGCTGGGACTTCCCTGGTGGTCTAGTGAGTAAGACTCTGTGCTTCCACTGCAGGGGGCACTGGTTCAATCCCTGGTGTGGGTGGGGTACTTCCCTAGTGGTCCCTGGTGGTTAAGAATCTGCCTTCTAATGCAGGGGATGCGGGTTCGATCCTTGGTCGGGGAACTAAGATCCCACATGCCACAGGGAAACTAAGCCCATGTGCTGCAGCTAGAGAGCCCATGCACTGCAACTACCAAGCCTGTGTGCCACAACTAAAGACAAGCCCGTGCACCACAACTAGAGAGAAGCTTGTGCGCTGCGACGAAAGATCCAGCGTGTCACAACTAAGACTCGACCCAGCCAAAAACAAACAAACAAAACAAAACAAACCATTAGGGAGTTCACATGTTTTGAGTACTAACTTTCCTGAACTCCTTGCTTGGTGCCCTGCAATAAGTGCTGTACTTTCCTTCACCACAACCCAGTGTCAGTAGATCAGCTTTACTGTGTGTGGGCGAGAGGATTCAAGTTTGGTTCCATCCACCTCACTACAAATAACTCAATTTTGTTTCTTTTTATCGCTGAGTAATATTCCATTGTGTATATGTGCCACATCTTCTTTATCCATTCATCTGTCGATGGACACTTAGGTTGCTTCCATGTCCTGGCTATTGTAAATAGAGCTGCAGTGAACATTGTGGTACATGACTGTTTTTGAATTATAGTTTTCTCAGGGTACGCTCTCACTGTTGTGGCCTCTCCCATTGCGGAGCACAGGCTCCGGATGCGCAGGCTCAGCGGCCATGGCTCACGGACCCAGCCGCTCCGCGGCATGTGGGATCTTCCCGGACCGGGGCACGAACCTGCGTCCCCTGCATTGGCAGGCGGACTCTCAACCACTGCGCCACCAGGGAAGCCCGGTTCGGTAACATTTTGAATGACTTGATGGAGGTAGGTGTCTGTGAGGGTGCAGTGGGGGAATGGGTATTGGCCTCAGCTGGTGATCTGACCTCAGGAGTTTGCATCCCTGGCTTCCTGGTGGCAGAAATTGGGAAGCAGGACTAGGAAGGGAATGCCTGTGGCTTGGAGGAAGCTCTTAGTTCTTAGAATCACAGAACTTTAGTCTTAGGTCATTTGGTTCAACCTTTGCCTTTAAGAAGTGGGGAAAGAGATCTAGTATTTTGCCCAGAAAAACCTCAGAAGACCTCCCACCAATCTTGTTTTCCCTCTCCCAAAAGCTTGAAGTTGGAGGTCACTAGGCTTCTGATCTCAATCAAAATATCTCTCAGAAGCATTTATCCTCCTCTCTCTTTCAGCAGCATCATCTGAATAGTATGCTCTGGATAGATGATGGGTTAATATTGCTACATAGAAACTCATTGAAGGCATAGTCCTTGGCCTCTAGGAACTTAAAAATCAAGACCAAGTGTTTAAAAATGATTTGCAAATGCCGTCAAGTCAAAAGAAAGAGAAAGTTTTAAATATAGCTTTTATTTGAAAGCTGAACCACACATTAAATCAAAATAATTTTATTTTTTTGCTTTTGCTTGGACTTTCCACTTCATATATGTAGATGCTCAAAAATTATGATTTAGATTTAGGAAAGTGCTGATTTCAGAAAGTGGATGTTCGTTTTCCCCCAGGGTGCAGAGGAGTCAGAGCAGGGAAGGAAGGATGACATCACTGAACACCTCCTGCAAAGTGAGGATTGTCATTCCCACTTCTCTGTAGGACTCTGAGGTGCAAGGATTCCCCATGGTTAGGTTGCTAATAGTTGTGTGTGTGTGTGTGTGTGTGTCTGTGGTTTGAACCCAGTTCTGTCATCAGAGCCACACAGGCTGCTAAGAAGCAGAAAGTCTAGCATTCTGGTTCCCAATTATCAATGTGAAATACGGCCAGTTAAGTTCAGAAGGAGGTTATCTGGTTCAACCCTGCCTTTTACATACGGAGGCGCCGAACCCCTAAACGACAGAGCAGCCAGCCTGCAGAAGGGCAGAAGGCAGTGTATGTGTGTGGGCCAGGTGTGGCCCAGCGCTGACACACAGGAAGCCTGAAGCGAGAAAGGGTGATTCCATCCGAGAAAGAGAAGGCAGAAAAGTGGCTATTCTCATTCTCACGCTCAAGGTGTGAATTCCTGTATTGAGTCATAGTAATTTTCCAAAAATTCTGATTCCTGGTACTTTAGGCTCTCAGCTCAGTATTTATCTCTTTGTCCCCAAACTCCACACCCTTCAAGGTGCCTCACAGTCCAGCACGGAGTGGGGGGCTCCCACAGCTGCACATCATTCTCTGTCACCCCTGGCCCCCAAACCCCTGGTTCCTTTGGTCTCACCTCTAGACAACTGTGTCTTTCAAAAACTTCTCCCCTGGCACTTCCTCACCGACCGACAAAATCTTTTCCAAGGCATATGGTCCTTATATTTACATTTGTACAGAGCTTTTGCTTTTATAATGTGCTTTCTTGCTTACCTTCTCACTTGATCCTCATAAACACCCCAAGTGAGGTAGGAGGAAAGGGATTATTACTCCCATTTTACAGGAAAGAGACTGAGGCTGCCCTCTTGATTCTCCAGTGTCATCAGCAAACATTTATGGGTCTAAGCCTCACACTGGCTCAGCAGTGCTCCTTTGACACAGGTTCTAGGTTTTCTTTTCTTCTCACGTTTCCTGGAATCCCAGTGGGTTTTACACAGCAGGCACACTACACATATAGCTGATGATGCATGGCTAACTGAAGGCTGCAGTCAAAAGCTTTATGCTGCTTTGGCGGTGCCCCTGTAGACTCCTTAGCTGATTTCCAAGTGAATCGCATGCCACTCCTGTCCCTTTCCTGTTTATAATTCATCGTCTAATCAGATTTTTCAGGGGACGTAAGTTTGCAAACTTCTGTTTTATCCAAATGGATCTGTTTTGTTTTTCCTTGCCTAAATGTTAGGCATCCAACCTGATGGGTTTCACAAATTAATGTAATTTATTTTCCATTTTGTCAGTGCAAAACAAAGGTGTTCTTAAGACAAAGCACTGAAGATCACAGTCCTTCCTCCTCTTCTGTTTCTTGAGTCAGCAGCAAGTAAACAGTTCTGTAAACATGTGTGGGTCTATGTCCTTGTGTGTGTGGACCCGCTGCTTTATTCCATCCTTAACTGGTTTTGTCCTAGTTAAGTACCAAGTGGCCTTGTCTTAGTCAAAATGGAGATTCCCGTAGCATCTGGACTTTCATCAAGGCCCGTTTCAGTTGCTCGTAGGTGACGAACATCACCACATTCCAGGCTCCCAAACGCAAAAATGAGGGTGTAAATCTGATGAGAGAAACAACCACATGGTCAGGTGGGTGGACTGGAGTCCCACATGGATCTATGTGCTCTCCCCACTCGGTGCTGGTGCCAAAGGACTAGCCTTCTGCTAGTCACGAGCATTTTCTGAGATTGTTCAGTCATTTTCTTCTCTACTGAAGGAATTTAGGCAGAAGCTGGAGTTGGGAAAGGAAAGAAAACTAACATTTTGAGCCATGTTACTGTGTCAGGCAGTTAATTCTCACAGTTCTATCAGGTAGCTATGATTGTTGCCAGTTCTTTCTCTTCAGAAACCGAGGTTAAGTAGCTCAGTTAAAACCACCTGACTCCATTCTGCTGCTGGGTATTTCTGGGCTCATTTACAACCTGAGTGGCCACCCCTGCGGAGACCTCGGCCTCCAGCTGGAGGGGCAAAAACAACGTGACACCAAATTAACTACACTCCGGAGAGCCTGCCAGTCCTGCGGTAGGTAGCGCGGCTGGGCGAGAGCCCCCCTCGGCTGTGCTTCTAGACTCAGGGAGCGGCCCGGCCCCTGCCTCTTCTTCAGCCTCTCTCTCCGCTAATCCCCTCCTGGTCCTCTCAGCTCCTGCCAGATGCTTCCTCCCACACCTTTGCCCATGTTGCTCCTTCTGCTTGGAATATCTCCTTCTCTCCTTGCCGGGCTGTTCGCTCTTGGCTCCGTGGGACTCAGCTTGGGCACCAGAACCTCCCACCAAGGCCTCTCCTGAACCCTCAGCCTGAGCCCCTCACAGGGCATATAGCACGGGGACAACGAATGTGAACTCTGGCGTTAGACCTGGATTCACATCCTAGCTTGACCAGCTTCTTGAACTTAATCTTTCTCAGCCTCAGCTTACTTACCTGTAACATGAGGACAGCAACACCTACCGCACGGAGGTGTTGAGAGGATTAAATGAGTTAAGGTACAGTGCATAGCACAGGGCCCAGCACCCGCAAGATGCTCAGTGAATGTTTGCCAAGTGAAAGTACAAACCGAGACAAGTGGCTACAGCTGAAGAGTGAAATGATGGAGGCACTTACAGGAAAAGAACTGTCAGCTGGAACTCAGTTTTGTGACGTCATCCCAGGGTCAAGAACATGGTTGTTTGTTGGGCCCAACCTAACGCTGGGCTCCAGAAATCTATCCTCAGTGGTGGAGGTAAGAGGGCCAAGCAAAGAGCTTAGCGTGGGATGGACGATGTGGGTGGTATCTGATGGTCAGGGTTTGAGCCGTGGCTCTGCCGTTCAAACTTTGTGAGCTGGGACAAGTTCCATGACCTTTCTGAGCCTCAGTCTCTTCCCCAGTAAATGTGGAGAACACGGCCCAGTTCAGGGGGGTGAGAGAGTATTTGTGAAGTGCTTAGCAAAAGGCCTCATACTTAGGGACTTAGCAGTCACGATGCTTGTTAATGACTACACTGTAGTGTAGTCTACAGTGCCTTGGTGCTGGGGACTCTGGGATATGGAAGATGTATACAGTTGACTCTTGAACAACACAGGTTTGAACCGTGAGGGTCCACTTATACACAGATCCTTTTGCAATATTAAATACTACAGTACTGTATGATCTGCGGTTGGTTGGATCCATGGTTGGTTGAATCTGTGGATGTGGAACCGGGGATATGGAGGAACCATGGCAATGGAGGAACCTCATGTATGGAGGGCCGACTATCAATTGTCCACGTATTTTCAACTGCATGGGGTCCATGCCCCTAACCCTTGCATTGTTCAAGGGTCAACTGTATAAGCCACAGTCCTTGGCTGCAAGGAGCCTGCACTCTAGCCTGGGGGATAATTTAAACTTACAAATACTATAATATTGATACAAAGTAGGAAGTGGTAGATCCCATAAAAGTGGTGTGGAGGAAGGTATCACTGAAGTTCACAGAGGGGGAAAGTTTACACCTGAGAGTGTTAGGGAGGAGGTGGCATTTGAACTAGTCTTGAAGGACAGCTAAGATGTAGAGCATGTGGATGGTGCAGGAAAGGCATTCCACGCAGAGGGAACAGTAAATGCCAAGGCAGAGAAGCAAGAAAACGTGAAGCACATTGGGCACTAGGGCCGCCGACTGTGGTGATCCACAGTGATGGTGGTGGGTCAGGGAAAAGTCTCAGGATTACCAACCACCTTTCCCTCCTCCTCCCCTGCCCAGGACGTTTGGGGATGGCACTTTGACCTGTGCCTAGACATCTTTTTCTCAGATAAGCCTCCCTGACTCTCCAAATCAGACCTGGTCCACTCTTTCTAAAAATCATTTCCGTAGGTCTTTATACTTGTCCTTTGTGGCATTTATACCTGTGCTGTTCACCAGTGTGTTTCCAGGTGGACCCATGGTAGACACAATCCACATGGCAGGAAGGAAGGGAGGCCTGCTTCTCTAGGAGGGAGTACTGGCAGCAGGAGGGGAGGCTCACCCCTTATAGAAGGCTGTGGGGCCCTCCTGGGACACCATCTTCAGCATACAGTCGAAGGGGCTGCGGTACTGGCCTGGGGGTGAGTTCATATACCGGGTCTTCACCACGTCCACTGGGGAGGCCACCACTGTGGCACAGAAGCCAGCTCCAAAGGCAGAGACGAAGTGGCAGGGGAAGTTGTCTGTCGCAGGTTAGGGAAGAGCAAATGTTGGGCTGTGAGATGAGGAGTGCCCTTGCTTTCTGTTTCATATGTGTCCACTGTTTGTCCCTCATGAAACTGTGAACTCCCTGAGTGTAAGGATAGTGTTTTCCAAATCTCTCACAGTGCCCAGGGCGGAGCTCTTGGTAAGGACTCGTAAAACAGAATTGGGCTGTCCCAGGGTTGGAAGGTAATCCAGTCCAACCACCTAGTTGGAGGAAACTGTAGTCAGAGAAGGTGACCCTTGCTTAAAGGTGCACGGGGAGAGATGGCACAGGGCTGGAAGCCAGGTCTCGGGCCTCCTGTCCGGGGTTCTTTCCTACTCATCATAATGATGTGCTGGGCACTGCGCCTCCCTCTGCTCCTTCTAAAGCCCAGTTGCCTGTGGGTGGTGCCCACTCTCTGGCGTCCCAGGTTCCCTCTCTGCTATGGGAGGGCCATCTGCCTGGAGCCCAGGGCCTCACCGGTGAGCAGGTGGTAGTTTAGCAGCTTCTCCTTGATGATGTCGTAGGTCACCATCTCAGCACAGTTGATGATGGCATTCCTCACGATGTTGGGCAGAGTTCCTGTCAGGGAGAGGGTGGGGCTGATGAGTGGGGAAGAGCAGAAATGGAACCCCTGGCTGCAAGGCCACAGGCCCCAGTTGGGGGGACATGGTGCCCCATTCCAGGGGTCTCAGAGGAGCCCACCTCAGGTGGGTAGATTCCATACTTTCCTTTCTGATGTTTAAAAACTCTCAGGTTGGGCTTCCCTGGTGGCGCAGTGCTTGAGAGTCCGCCTGCCGATGCAGGAGACGCGGGTTCGTGCCCCGTTTTGGGAGGATCCCACGTGCCGCGGAGCGGCTGGGCCCGTGAGCCATGGCCGCTGAGCCTGCGCGTCCGGAGCCTGTGCTCCGCAAATGGGAGAGGCCACGACAGTGAGAGGCCCGCATAACGCAAGAAAAAAAACAAAAAACAAAAAAAACAAAACAGGTTATCCATGTCCTTCTTAGAGACAAAAAACAGAGAGGCCCTCTTGTATTTGTTTGGGCCACAGTTCAGAGGATAATCTGCAATATCTCTCAAAATTAAAATATGCCTTCCTGAGACCTGGCTAGAGGGAGAAAAGGAAGCCTTTCTTTGGAAGAGGGAGGCTAGGCTCTTGGAACAGTGACAGGATGTAGCCCTGGCAGGGCCCTTGGAGAGCATCAAGACCACCCCCCCCGCCCCGGTTTCACAGATGAGGGCCGGGCTCCAGGAAGGCATACAGCAAGTGAGGCTGTGACCCAGGTGTCCTGCCTTTAACCTTCACTGGGTCACTGTTTCCTCTGCAAGATTCACGTGAGCCCTGGCCACACGTGGGAGAGACAACAGCATTTGTCAAGGTGGCCACCACTCAGAAACGTAGGGAACCCTAAAGCCTTGTTCCCAAGGAAGCCCCCTCCTCATGGCTGCTTCCCCCAGTGGCCTCTCTTTCTTCTCCATGCCCTGCAGTCATCGTCATCAGCCTTTGCTGGGGAGGCCCTTCGCTCACTCTCTGCTGAGCCGGCTCAGCCTTTGAGGCCCAGATTGTGTGTCACCTCCCCACGCCCCAACCCCCAGCCTGCATGGCCTCTCCTGCCTCCGGCCCTGCCCCTGCGTGTGAACCCAGCACATCCTGTCCTGTGGAATAGCTGCTCCTTGACATGTCCCCTCTCCTCTGGGTGACTGTGAGAGCCACAAGGATGTCTTCTATTCATTTCTCTCTCCCTCACAGTCCTGCACGTGGTGAAGAGTTGGCAAACTGAACTGAATTTGGGGCAGGGTGGCGGGTCAGCTGGCATGTTGCAATGGTTGGGATGTTCCTTTAGAGTCGCTGGAATATGCGTGCTGGGCTCTCCCCTTGCCCAGTTCCCTGCTCCAGCCCTAGGGTGGGGAAATCACTGCCCAAGCCCCCCTGAACCTGGAGTCCAGACCTACCTTTCCACAGGCCCCGAACCCCTTCCTCCCTGGCGATGGTCCTGTAGGCATCCATTGTCCCGCTGTACTTCCTGTTGCTCCCGGGCCCAGCGTGCATGCTGGCCTGAAATCGGATCTTCACCACATCCGTGGGCTGGGCACAGGTCACTGCCATGGCCCCGGTGGTGCAGCCCGCCAAAATCCGGGTAGTGACGCTGCAGTCTGGAGAGAAGGAGAGTGAGTGGGCCAGTGTTCCACCACCCAGCACCTCTCTGGGCCTGATGCTGATCTCTGGGGGCTTCCCCTGCTCGATGCCTTCCTCTCTTGGGCCAAGGTTCCAGAGCCTCCTTAACGGAGGCTCAGAGTCTTCTCATGAGCATGTTACCAACTTCTCACGCCCCAGCTCTGCCTCTGAGTCTGCACTGCCCTGGTCTTCTGACCCACAGCCTAGATTCTGCTTCTGCCCACCCCCTCAGCACTCACGGTCCGATCCCTTGGGGGTGTAGAACTGCTTGACGGAGTCGTAGAGGCCGATGCGGACGGAGGCGAAGCTCATCTGGCGCTGCAGGCCGGCGACCAGCCCTTTGTAGGGGCTGCGGGGGCCCTCGGTGCGCACCATGGTCAGGATGGTGCCCAGCACCCCGCGGTACTGCGTGCTCCGGGCCGCCTGGTTCTCCCCCTGGATCTGAGGGACACCCCGCAGCGGTGTGAGGGGCTGGGTCGGGGGTGGATGGGGCTGTGTGCAGGGGGGCCTGCTTGGGGCTGGGCTCGGAACAAGCATGATCACAGCATCACATCCTGGTAAAAATGACAGTTTTGTGTAGCAGTTTCCAGCCCACAAACTGTTGTACACAGTGTGGTGTTGGATCCTCAGGGAGGACAGGGTGGATTGTTTTTCTTGGTACAGATTGTCAGTGGCTTGCCCAGGCTCACCCAGTAATTCCTTACTTCTACTCACTTTTTGGCTTACAAAGTAGGGCAAGGCCATGAAGGGCCCTGGCACGTCCTGCCAAGGAATTAAGATCTTTTGGCCTTGGGTGATGGTGATGGGTGATGGGTGGCGAGGCAGGGTCATGGGCAGTGGGGTGAGTGGCCTGCTCAGGTCCGCTGTGAGGAAGAGCAAGCGGGCAGACACTGCAGGTGCCCCGGTGGAGAACTCAGCCCCTCTGCTGATGGGAGTAATGACCCTCGGCCAAAGGGTGCCTACCTGCAGGCGGACCTTGGCTGTGTCCAGTGGAAAGGTGAGGAGGTCAGCAAAGCAGGCCGCTGTGCCCGCCCCCAAGAACTTCACAGCCGTTGTGGGAGGCACCTCTGAAGGCTTCAGTCCAACCATGGTCCCAGGGGCTCTGCCCGGTCCCTCCAGGGCCCAGCGGAGGTCCAAGGAGAGAGGCTGCTGCACAGCCCTGGGCTTCAGTGCATGGAGGAGGCTGCAGGAGACAGGCCAGAGGAGGGGATAGAACCCATGCCCTCTGGGCCCGTCCCCAGGCCCTGCTCAGCATCAGGAGGGTGTTTATAAGGGAAAAGCCTGTGCATGGCTGTGCTTAGCTGTGTGGATTTGACTTATAAGAACAGGTCACTTTCCTCCCTTATGTCTTGCCATCTTCACCCTGACCCCTCTCCCCTCCCGGTTGGAGGTGGGTCTTCACTGTATAAAGGCTCAGGCAGGGACAGGCAACCACCCAACCCCGTTCTCCTTCCCCAGCCTCAGGCTGCTTCCTGCGAAAGGCCTGCTCCCTGAGGTGTATGGAGAGAGCCTGCCAAGTCTCATCGCTTTAGGCCCTGCCGTCCCAAATCAACAAAATAAATGTGCCTCATGGCTCAGTTAAACTGCTATAGCCATCTTGGATGAGGGGTTGTAGTTGTTTCCTCCAAGCCTGCCTGAATGTACTCTTCTTTACTTAAAACAAACACAGTCCTTCTCAGCCTGTGATTGCTTCTCTGTCACCAAAGATATTTAGCCTGTGACTAGAGATGTTTCCTCCCAACACTGTAGGACTCGTGGGCTGGTGTTCTGCTGTGGAGGGACGGGGTGGGGGGGCGGTGACTGACCCTGGGCCCCTCTGCTGCTCGGCCTCCCCAGGGCTCTGAGGGAGACTGTGCCCCCTCCCTGCCCCCAGGGGTGCACTTGTGCCTGCACCCATCTTACTGCTGGTGGACCAGGGGCATGTGTACATGAGGGTCCTGGTTTAGCCTTGGTTACCTTGGGAAGCTGGCACAGGCCTTTGGTACTGATGCCATCTCTTGGCAGTTCATACCCATGGGCACCCCAACTCACACACTCGGCGCCCCCCAGTGTGCTGGGATCCTGGACCCTTCAACATTGTCACCTCTGGAGCCAGGGCCAGTCCCACAGAGTTAGCTGTTAAGTGGGCTGACTGTGTGCCCCCTTCTCTACGGTAATAGAAAAACTCTGGTCCTGTGGTGAGGAAACCTGAGTTCCTGCCCTGTCTTCATGGCTTACTAATGGGTGAGGGACATTAGATACATTATTTAACCTCTCTTGGGTAAATGGGAATGATATATTACCTATTCACCAGTGGTGAAATGGATTCCAAAAGATAGGGGTGACCACTTGAGGCTTCTTTCAGGACTGTGGTCTACAACTCTCGTTCTCCCTGTCCTGTGTCTTCAACCCACATGGCTCCCTGGACTCTTATGCTTGCTGTCACCTTTCCCTAGAAAAGTCTGTTCTTAAGAAGGAGCTGATGTTTCTAATTCATACTAAGGTGTAAGTGACTATCTTAATGATCAGCTATTTCTTGAACACTATGGCAGGTACTAGGGGAGGAAAGATATGGAATGAATCATGTTTGGCCCTTGCCCCCAAGGAGCTTACATTCAGGAACACAGGTGTAGAATTATCCAAAGGGAATGAAGGAGGTGAGATGGAGGATGGGTTGAGATGGGAGCTCACCAGCCACTGGATCCCAGTCTGGAAGCCTGGGTCATAGTGTGGAGGGACAACTTTTGAATCCTGCCCCGGGGAAGGTGGTGCTTTTATTTTGATCTCTCCTGGCATGAAGTTGCACTTAACATTTTACTTTTATTTTTAAAACTTTTAAAATGAGATATAGCTTACATATAAGGATTGTATGCATTTTGAAGTTACTGAGTCATAAAGGGAATTGTGCACCGATTCTGGAATGTTAGGACTGGACAGCAAATGCAGGAGGAGATTTTCTGGATGGGGACCTAACCTAGTGTCCAAACATAATTCAGATCATGTCACTCCCCTGTTTTAAGGCTCTCCAACCGCCCCAGCCCTGCCTAGTTATTCAGAACAAAGTCCAAAGTCCTTATTGTGGCCTATGGACCTCCCTAAGACCCAGCTCATGCTAAGTTCTGTGCTTGGCGCTCCAGGAAATCTGGAGATGAGTAAAAACAGTCTGTGTGACCTGCCCGTGGGGAACTCTCAAGGAGTCTTGTGGGGGCATTAGACACACCCACACGTAACTGCAGTGCAAGATGGGATGGATCAATGTTGGAAGGAAGGAACCATCAAGAAGGGACCCCAAGGAGGGAGAAACCCTCTCTCTTGTTTGTGAGGTAGAATTAGGACAGTTTCATGGTGGGGGGTGGGAGGAGGGCCTTGAAAGGTGGGCAGAATTTCAGCAGCTGGAGAAGTGGGAGGGGGGATTCCAGGTGCAGGGAAGGGCGTGCGCTTGTGTGAGAGTCCAGGGCACCGCTTAGGGTAGGAGGAGGGAATGGCTATGGGGCGTGAGGCTCTTGCAGTGGAGCTTTACACACAATTTCACTGAATTCTCACAACTTTCCAGAGAGGTAGCCTCCTCCTTCCTCTCCCTGCGTTTGAGCAAATGGAGGCTCAGAGATGTTGGCTTGCTCAGTGTTACCAGCCACCAGTGTCAGAGCCTGGTTCACTCTGCTCTACTAGGCTTGAAACAGCCCTGGAAAGAGGGCAGGACAGCATTTAAATCCATTTTACAGGTGAGAAAAGAGAGGCTTAAGATGGAAAGAGATTTCCTCAAATTCACAGAACTCCAACCAGTTTCTTGTGGTGGCAATAAGGCCCCCTTCACCATTCATTCCACTCAGGGGCCCCAGTGGATGTGGTAGTGTGGATATCCACCATCTTGCTTTTTTGTTGAGGGCATTCAAAGCCCTTTAAATTGCATGCAAAACCCCTCTCTGGGGAATTAAGTGCTAAGCACATAGAACAACAGCTTGGCGAGGAGGGCTGGGTGGGTGGGCATCAGTGTCCAGTTTGGCAGAGGAAGAAAATGTGCCCAGAGAGGCTGAGACTAGCGCACAGCACACAGTCAGGCCTCAGGCTCCCTCTGCAGTGCTCCTCCCACAGCTTGTCTGCCTGCCTTTCTGTGTTGCCTCCCTGAGAAGGTCCAAGGAGGATCTGGCCCCTAGGGAGGCTGGCGTGGAGCTGAGCCTGGCTGAGGGGACAACACTGCAGGCGTGCGGGGGGAACACTGTCCTCCTTCCCCTTCACCCTGCAGAAGCCCAGCAGCGGCCAGGCAGGCTCAGTCCCTGGCAGGGAGGCTCTGGCTCCTCTGTCTGGGGTTGGAATGAAAGTGCCTGGTTGTGTGTGGGAACAGCTGCCAGTGCCTGCATTCTGTCAGCCTCTCTTCCCTCAAGCCCTGGCCTTTCCCCTCCTCTGACAGGAGCTGTGCTGCTGGGAACCTCGGCTTCAGGAATGTGAGGGCCCGACTCTCAGGGCAGGGAGGCCCTTGGGAGGTGTGTTCTCTAGTGTCTCTTGCTGGTTGTACAAGTGTCCCTTTTTCAAAACCTTGGTGGCCACCCAGGCTCTAATAGAAGAATCCTGCAAGTTAGGTATTTTAATTCCACTTTCAGAGTTAGGAACTGAGGAGCAGAGGTGGGATCCCCCCCAGGGCTGTGTGACTCAGTGCATTCCCTGCCATTGGCCCCTGGCGTGGAGTGTTTGCGACGGGCCAGGCCTTGCAGGGAGCACTTGGTGGGCTTTGCCTCATGGGCTGGGTCCGTCTCCCAGGGGACGCCTGTGTCCTCTGGCCAGAGGGGCTGAACCATCAGGCACGGCTTCCCTTCTGAACCTCCTTTGTCCTCAACTGCCTCTGTCCCACACCTTCTTTAGAATTAGCTCTGTTTTTTTTTGGCCATGCTGTGTGGCATGCGGGATCTTAGTTGCCCAACCAGGGATTGAACCTGTGTCGCCTGCAGTGGAAGCGTGGAGTCTTAACCACTGGACCGCCAGAGAGGTCCCTAGAATTAACTCATTAACTGCAATGGTTTCCTGCCTAGATGGGGGGGGGGGGGCCCAAAGCAGGAACTGGGGCTACTTATCTTGGTTCTCTGTGCAGCCTGGTTCAGGGACGGCCCAGGGCCAGAGGGGTCCAGGGAGGACCAGTTGACCAAGGGACCCCACTTGCTGAGGTGGGGAAATGGGCAACAAGGTCTGAGATGCCCACAGTGTTCTTTGGTGGAGGGCCTCAAATGCCACAGCTGTACTTAATCTAGCAAGAATGGGGACTGGTTGGTGTTTTCAAGTTGAGAAATGACACCATCAGACCTGTGTTTGGATCAGGCTGGTGTAGGTGTCAAGGATGGACTGAAGGCTCAGAGACAAGTGAGGCTGAAGGGATGGTGCAGCAAGAGGTGTTGGAGCCTGAACTTGGTCAAGAGCAGCGGCCAAGGGTGAAGCTGGAGCCTATTCCAGAGGCTGTCCTGAGCCCCCTACGGGAGGGTGGAGTGGACTCAGGTGGGGAGGGCTCTAGACTTTCACTGGTCAAGTGGGGGCAGGGCAGGGGGAGGCCACAATGGTGGGCACAGGCAGGGGCCCTGAGGCCAGTGCTCCTTAACCTCCTTCCCCCTTTACTCCAGCCTCCTGAATTGGTACCCAGGGAGCCCTAGCGGCCAGCAGAACTTTCCCACTGGCAAAGGTGAAGCGTAGAGCAGACCCTCCTTCCTGTGCTCTGCTGGGGCACATGAGGGATGAGACATTTCAGCCTGCACGCCCAGAGTCGTGGTGCCCCATTAACATCTGCCGAGTGCTTCCTGCACCAGGCACCATGCTGAGGGCTTTACAGGCATTGACTAGTTCAACCCCTTTATACAGCATAAGGTAGCTTCTATGATTGTCCTCATAAACAAGGGCCCTGGGGCTTCAAGGGCTTCAGCTAATCGTAAGGCTAATGGAATGGAGCTGGGATTAGAGCTCAGGTCTGTCTAGCACCTGTTCCTGTTCCACCACCCAGAGTCAGACTTCAGGGAGAGCTCAGGATCCCTGAGCTGCTTGTTTACAGAGTGGATTCTTGGCCCTCAGCCCCGGAGATTCAGGTCTGAGTGGGGGCCTGGGAATCTGCATTAGAAACAAGTTCTCTGTGGTGGCTCTGAAGCAGGGATCAGAAGCCCCTTTTCTGAGATACGCTGCCTGACTCCACCCTCCTGGCAAAGCCTCTACTGCATCCCCGCTGAGGAAGCTGTCTGAGCAGAGCTGGGGTGGCCCCCCTACTCAGGAGAGGGGGCCTCATGGGGAAAGGGCTTTATGCTCTGGGGGAATCCTCGGGACTCTGGGTCAGACTAAGGAGAAAGCCACCTCTTTATCTATGGTGATTTGCAAAATCACAGCAGAGGCAGCCAGCAGGGCAAGGGGGAAGTGAGTCCTGGGTGAGTGACACAGGAGCTGGGGTGGAGTCCCAGTCCCGCCATAGTGCCCTCATCAGGGCTGCCGTTCCCTCATCTTGACTCAACCTCTACCGGCTCTGTCCTGCTATGGTTAGCGACCCCTGACAGTTCCTGGCTGCTCTCCGTAGGCTGCTGCGAGGGGAGAACTTGGAGGAGGAAGGTGGGGTGGAGAGTGAGTGGGGTCTTACCTGTGAGTCCAGCCAGAGTCGGGGAAGCATAGGGTCTCTTTAAGGCTCCTCAGGGCTCCATCCCAGGAGGTGGCAGCAGGGACCTGATCACCCCTCTGTCATTTGCTGTCGTCCCTGCAGCCTCTGGCTTGGCACTTGTCTTTATACACTCTGGCTGACGTGAAACCTTATCCTGGAGAAGCTAGTTGACAGCCTGGTCACTTGACCAGAGGCTGCTGGTGAGGGGCAGGGAGGTGAGGGGGAAGGTTGGAGTTCCAGATCTGCTTCAGCTCCCTTGACTTGGGGTTCTTTAAACTAGCCCTTTCCAGCTGATTAAAGAAGCGCTTCCTCGGGTGATGAGGGTATATATGGGGTGGGGGGTTTGGACTTGTCACTTTTGAGAGTCCAAAGGTCAAGGCTTCCATGATAGGCTGGGCAGGGCTCTCCTGGGCCTCCTCTTAATAGTAACAATGATAACTCACTTCTTAATGCCTACCACGTGCTAGGAACTTTACATACATTATTCCTATATCTTCACAACACTATGAGGTAGGTACAATTAGGAGTCTAAGTTTTTTTTTTAAATAGCTTTATTGAGATATAATTCCCATACCATACAATTTACCTATATAACTGGTACAATTCAACGGTTTTTAGTGTATTCACAGTTATGCAACCATCAGTTTTAGAACACTTTCATTACCCTCCCCAATATCCCCGTACACATCAACAGTGTCACTTCCTTTCTCCCCTCCCCACAACACCAGGCAATCACTAATCTACTTTGTCTCTATAGATTTGCTGATTCTGAACATTTTGTATAAATAGAACCACACAATATGTGACCTTTTGTGACTGGCCTCTGACTTAGCACAGTGTTTTCCAAGTTCATCCATGTTGGAGCATGTGTCAGCACTTCATTCCTTTCTATGGCTGAGGATGCATGCATTTTAATGCTTAGGTTACAGAGGGGAAAACAGAGTCTTAGGGAGGGACAGTGACTCACCCAGGTCGCAATATGTGGCAGGGCCTGACTTCCAGCCTGCAAACTGTAATGTACTTTGGACCCATCTGTTCTCTATGATATGACACTTGGGAGCTTCAGCATGGACACGCCTGAAGCCAAAGGGCTCTGGGGAGGGTGTGAGGGTTGGGGCGGGAAGGGTCCCTCACAGCAGCTGCTGAGGCCCCCGTTGGTAGACACGGAGGGTAAGGGGTGGGCGAATCTGAACCTGGGATCCAGGTGACTGAGGAAAGAGGAGGGAGGGGCAGGGGGCAGGGGAGGAGAGAAGAGAGGTAGAAAGGGAAGGGAGGTGACCGGGTGGGGCAGAGGAGCAGGCAGAGGCCACTTCTAGACTTGGGTGCAGAACCATGGCCACGGTCACAAGTCCAGACACTCAAGTGCAAAGGACCTCCTCCTTGGAGCAGTCCCTGCCCCAATGTCAGCAGAGCAGGCAGTTGGGTTAGTCCTATGAAGGGAAGGGGCTGCTAGGGCTGCTGAGGTGGGGAGCGTTCTGGAAGTAGGTTCTTGGCTCCAGCTGAAAATGGCAGTCTGGAAGTGGTGGGTGAATTGCAGCCAGGAGGTGGGGAGGGGTAAATAGTCGGAACCCAAACAAGGGGGCGGTGGGCCCTGGAGAGACCCAGAGGGAGGGCAGCTTAGCTCATGTGGGCCTGGGAGCTCTTCGAGGGCAGGGCCAGGTCTGTCTGCTTTAGCTCCATGTCCCCAGAATCCAGTCTGTGCTAGAAGTTCCAAAGCTGGCTGCCATGGGCTGAGATCAGCCAACCTCTGGGTGATGAGAAGCACCCATTTTCAGGGCTCTGTGGAGGGAGTGCTGAAAGGGAAGTAGGGAGACGCTGGCTAGTTCTGTTGGTGGTGGTGGAACAAACATGTACCTCATGCCCTTAGCCGGTGCTGCATGCTTGGCAGGGCGTTTCTCGTCTGAGCTGTTACTGCAAAATAGATCCAACTTCTGGGGAGAAGACACTGGTAAATAACACACTCTGTAAGTGTAGGGGGAGGTTTTCAGACCCTCAGGGTGCCTCTGTGTTATCAGAGGCCGCCCTCAGCCTGGGTAGGAGTCATGCATGTCCTTATCCTAACTTGACCCCATCAAGTTATTTACAGGAGCTGGAGCAGGATTGGGAAGGAATATTCTTCACCTGAGGCTTAACCCCTCAGGCCTGGGCCCCTAGCTTCTCTGTGGCCTCAAGGGAGGCGGAGACCTGGGCCTTGAAAGCTCCTGGCAGACAGGCGGCTGGTGAGCTGAGAGGGAGACACTGGGGAGGAGGTGAGCTGGCAGGCCGAAGGTTAGGGGGCCGAGACAAACAGATGAAGGGGGACATGCTGGTCTGAGTGCACTTGACCGATGAGGGGGGCGCCCTGCATCACCCTGTACCCTCTGGGGCATGTCCTGCCTCACAGCTAGTGGTGAGCCTGCCTATCTACTGACTTGCTCCGGGTCAGTTGGGGATGGGTGGGTGGGGCTGACATTTCCTACGCTTCCATTAAGTGCCAGTTGCTGGCAAAGCACTTTCACAAACATCATCTCATTTAATCTTCTCAACAACCCAGTGAAGCTGGGCTTGTTACCTTGCTTTACAGATGAGGCAACAGAGGCTCAGATAGATAGAGGCTCGCGCAGTCAAGCCGGAGGGGACCTATCGGGAAGTGGCAGAGCCGGACCCGTCTCTGCTCTCTCCCCAGCTGGACCGTGGCCCGCATGCCCTGCTGGTTCCTCCCTGGTCTCACCCCCAGACTTAGCTCTTCAAGAAAGCCTTTTCTGACTGCTCCAGCCCACATGGTTTCCTCCAGGAACTCCCCGAATTCAAAGCACTTAACTGGCTGTGTCCTGGGCACAGAAGCCTTGTGACATGTCTGGAGGTGTCTTGTGTGATCTGCTTCCTAAGTACATGAACAGAGGCAAGTCACTTAATTTCGTTGAGCTTCAGTTTAACTATAAGACGGGAATCATAAGATGTGGGTTATAGAGTTGTTCTGAGGACTGAGATGACCTAAGCTTTGGGGTGGAAAGCAGGGCCCTCCAGGTAGTTCCCTCCCAGCCACTCTGCACATTTCTGCCCCCTTCTAATGCTCCCCACAGGCCCTTTCTATGGTAGCTGCTCGAATGTTTGGAGTCTGACAGTCTAAGCCAGAGCTATGTACTCATCCCAGAGAGATGGGGCATTCTGAGCGGGCCTGTGCCATGAGCCCCATTACTGTGCTGATAGATCTGAGGTACCAGCAAAGGAAATACTAGGTGTCACCCTAATCTGCATCAACCTAATCTTTGGAGGAGTCAGAAGTCTCATGGTGACCCTGGACCCCCCATTCCAGATGAGCTTCTCCAAGGGATTGTATGGTTGCAAAGCTTTCTCTCTGGCTGTCAGAGCACAAGCAAATTTCTGACACTGCAGTCCAGTGGCCGACCCGGTAAACATGTGCACAGAATACAAATACCAATATGATTTTATTCAAGCACAGGCAGGAACAATGACCTTCAGAGCTGGGTAAAAACAATAAGTTAAAAGCATGGTTAGAGTTTCAGACAATCAGATAAAAAGTTTGAAGGAGATAATTTCCCCCTCCTCTCCTACTGATTATTTCAACACAGCATAAAAATAATTTTATCTATAAAATACCCTTATTCCCAAGCAAATGAACTGGAGGTCGGCCCTAGGATTTCCCTGGCTATGCACGATGCACAAAATCTCCACCCACCCTCCCCAGCCCCTTTAAGGCAAAAGGGCCTATCATATTCAGGCAGAGGGTAGGCTCGTGTCAGCAGGAGGCTCTGGTCAAGGACACTGGGAGGAGTTTCCCAGCCGAAAGATGCCCGCTTGGGTCCCTTGGTCAAAAGACGGGTGGGCCACTTGGGCACCGGAATCCACCATTTCTAGCCTTCGCCTCACCATCGAAGGAGGAAGCTGAAGTCTTGGCAGGTGGACACTGGGCTGGTCTGTGACGCTCCTCTAGTCTGGGCTGACTGGTGTCCAGGGACAAGGCTGGCGGTGGTTTCAGGGCTTTCACAGCCCTGAGGGAAGCCAGACAAAGCTGAGGGTGAGTGGGTGGGTGGTCCTTCCCTCAGTCTCTTGGGTTGCATTAGTCTTTCTGGGAGTATCGGGAAGAAAATATCCGTGCAATCCTGCGAGTTTCTTCCTCAGACAGGCTGGGAGGCAGCGAGTTAGGTCTGGGACGACAAGGCCTTTGGGACAGGGCTCCCCTGGTGGTCTCGCTCTTGCCCTGGAGAGGAGGAGGTCAGCTAGGTTAGCACTGCGCACATGGCACTGCCTAAAGATGACTTTGACTCTTCTCGTCTTTTGGTCCTTTGGCTAATACTGGTATAGAACTGACTGATTTACAAAGCACTTTACATACCTGAGTGTGTTTAACCCTCACCTCGACCCCACAGGTTGGTACATGGTTCCCATGTCATGGATGAGGCAACTAAAGTTCAGGTGAAATAAACTCAAGGTCCCACAGCTCGGAGCAGCAGACCTAAGATGTAAACCCCTGTTCAGACTCCTCCTATGCCTCTGGAGAAGGAGGGGCAGTCTCCTCCAGGACATTCCTTCTCTTGCTGCATGTGTCTAGACAAGTCATTTGTCCTTGAAGTGTGACTGTCCCATGTGTGACCCTGCCAGGGAGAAGATGCTGGTGAAAAATACACTCTCCGTATGGCCCTGGGGAGTTCCTGGAGCTTCCAGGTGACATGAAGCACACACCCACAGCCCTGCTACCAAACATCTCCCTGTCTTGGGCTGACTGGGTATCACGAATTTCCCCTTTAAGGTGAGTGCATTTGGGTTATGACATCGTGGTCCTTTGGACTCCTCTATGACTCACCCATTTGCTCCTCTAACCCTTTTGTTTGCTTGTTTCTGTGCTTACTCTGTGCCAGGTTCCTGCCCTGAAGGAGCTCAAAGGATACAGGAAAGCCACCCCAGGCAGGTGGCTGACAGCAAGGCCCCAGTGAAGATGTGGAGGCCTGGCAGAGGAAGAGGCAGTGCTGAAAGGACATGGGAGCCGCCCCGACAGGCAAACGTGGCCGACTCCACAGCGTGCAGCCTGTCCCCAAATACTGAAAGCACACGCACCACTCCCTAGGCCCCAA